GCATGGGAAATGTGGAGCCATGTTTATCTCAACTATTTAAGGTGGATTGAAGATGTATAAATGTGTGCATGGGAAATGTGGAGCCATATCTATATATATTACACATCAGCCAGATATGTATAAATGTGTGCATGGGAAATGTGGAGCCACATTTATTATTGCATATGGGCTAGATATGTATAAATGTGTGCATAGGAAATGTGGAGCAATCTATATCTATTGCAAATGAGTCAAATATGATAAGATGTGTGCATGGGAAATGTGGAGCCATGTATTTACATGACCCCCTTGATGTACATCATAATGGATGTGTTTCATAATACCTCATGATTTTAACAAATAATATAATAAAATTGAGCATGGATATGAGTAGCAATATTTTGGCAAATTCCAGTATGATTAGGGAGAGGATGTGGGGGGGGGGGGGTGTAATATTTAGATATTTTCTTCCAGCTTGCTCACAGCTGTGTTTCTGCATAATATTATTAATATTTACTTGACCTGTTTCAGAATCGGATTCTCAGAAGTCAAACCAGACAGACAGTTCCAGATATTTTTAGTGAAGTTGATCCTGAAGGATTTACAGTGAAACAGCTGCCTGACAAAGGTGAGTGAGGTTACATACATGTACATGTAGATTGTATTAATAGTGAAAATTCACTGTAGCATAGATATCTAACATTAATATGCTCAATAAAATATTGATTCAGAGCTAGACTATGCAAGGAACGCCTGGTATGGTTCTTTGATCACACCTCATCGCCTATTGTCTGAAAATCACCAGCTCTTTTCAGAGTAACTTTGATACCCTTCGCAGTTAAACAGGTCAACTTCTTTAGTAAAATCTATACCCTTTCTGTATATTTCATTAATTTCATGCAGTAGAATATTTGATATGCTTTCCCTCATATTTTTCTGTTTTTATAATCTTAATTCAACACTTAATTGCGTGAAGCAGTCTTCAATGGCAAAGTGTTGAAAATAGAATCAATTACCACTACTGCATTTTCGTCTACAAAATACTCAATAATCTAGCCCCTTATTTAGAATCTTTTGGTCATAATCGTCCAGTTTACTTTGTTACTTGTCATTCTACCTTAAATCCCTTATTTATCCTGAAACCAAAGACTGAATTTAAAAAACGTTCTTTTTCTTTCACTGCTCCAAGCATCTGTAACAATCTACCGACTCATATTCGCACGGAAACTTCACTCCAAATGTTAAAAAACCAAATTAAGTCACTCCCTCTATCACTTTAATGCATGCACTGGTACCTAATGTTATATCATGACTTTTACCATAAGTTAGTTTTGTTTGTTTGTCTGTTTGCAGTTGTGTAGTCTATTTTTACGGCATGTGTATTTTTTAAAATATTTTTTTGGTCATTTTTCTTTGTATCAATAATATCTTAAATGATATTTAAGGCCTTTTGTTCATTTTGATCTAGTTTTTATTTTTTTAAAGCTTTTTTTTTAATGTTTTCTACAATGTATTCTATTTTTTTGTAAATATTTGTATGTACAGGGCTCTTTTGTAAAGCAGGAGGTATTAAACTTGATTTGGTTAAGTGTTTAAAGGTTAGACCTTGAAATGAATTTTAATGCCTCCTCATGGGGTTGAATGTCAAAAAAAAATTAGAAAATCTAGAGAAAACGTCATGTTCATCATGACATGCATGACACTGTAATTTAATATCTGCAGCATACTAATATTAAATACAATGTGTTGCTTACAAGTCTGCTTGATGGCAATGTGACCAAAAAGACACACAAATGTTATTTAAAACTCAACCAATTTTGAAAATAAGTGCCTTCTTACAAGTACGAGTCTGAGTTACTTATCACACCTGAGCATTATCTTAAATGACAGACAAATATACTTGTAACATCATATTCACAATGTTTAAACTCGCATGATTGATCTCATGAAGATTATGTATTTCTTCAATCACAGGTAGAGCAGTCTTTACCACCAAAACGTTTGAAGAGGGAGAATTCCTTTTGTGGTACAGAGGAGATCTGGTAACCAGAGATGTGGGGGAAAGAAGAGATGCAGACTGTGAAACTTGCTTCAGATACTTTTTCACATGGAAAGGGACGAAATGGTGGTAAGTCTACATACTATGACGACTTGATTTATTGAAAAGTATATTTTGTAATGATAGGTGTTGAAAACAAACCTAAGGCTATATGCTTATGACGTAGTCGTAAACATGTGGGTTGACAGGGCAACATATTTTCTACCAGTGGTTTTTGTTTTTTCCCTAGAGAAAGATCGAAAGCTAGTCATATCTGTCAAATTCTATTCCGTGCTTTTGAATAAACCCGTGGACTGACCACATACAGTACACATACATTTTTCTGCAGAAAGTATCAATACGGCAAGGACAGCATAGAACAAATATGCAACTTATATTCTTCTCTATCTATTCAAACCTGTTTTAGCTATCATACAAAAAACACACAATCTTACCAATGACAATTATTCAACCTTGTCAGTCCAACAGATCATATTCCATTTTGGAGAGCATAAAATGAGAATATAAAACAATATTTGGTACAAATATTGGATATAAAAGAAAGGTGCATTACACTGAAAAGTCCATGTTTTTTTTTTGTACACTCCACATTTCATCTTACAGATGAAACAGATTCGGAAATTTCTATGCAACTTGCACCACCTCCCTCTCCCTCCAGTGAAGTTTTAAATGATGAAACAGATTCGGAAATTTCTACGCAGCTTGCACCACCTCCCTCTCCCTCCAGTGAAGTTTTAAATGATGCTGGTTCATCAGTTCCCTGCAATATGTCATCGGAAGACTCTTTTTCTACTCCCCCTTTCTTCTACACCTCATCTTCACTTCAGTCTGATATTACTTCATCTGTTCATTCATTACTTCCCCTAACACCTCCCCGCACCCCCCAATCAACCCCTCACACAACCCCTCCCTCAACCCCTCTCCTAACCCCTCTCCCAACCCCTCTCCCAACCCCTCCCTCAACCCCTCTCCTAACCCCTCGCTCATCAACTCCTCATTCAACTTCTTCATCTGCTTTGTCTCCTCCTCTCCCTTCCCATCCTCCTAATTCATTTCTTTCAATGTCTGTTGTCCAGCGTCATCCTCGCATTGTAGCTGTATTTCTCATTTCGCTACTCCTGCTTGTTGTCTTTATACATCTTCTGCTTTTAATTTCTGTTATCCTTCTTTGTTAAATGTTCATCATTCATTTTGTAATTTCCCAAATTTCCTCTTCTTTATAATCTGGGAAGATGATCGGAGATGGGCCAACATATGTCAAATGGTAAGATTTATTGAAAAATCATTTGAAAACTTGAGAACAAAAATCATACAGTTGGTAAACATAATCTTCATTGAGGATGTAGTTTTCAATGCACAATTCAAACCCTGCATTGGATTTCCTGCTTTCTTTGCTCATTCTAAAATAAAATAACACTGCATACATGTTTGGTCCGTTTGATATGAATTCAGGTTTGTGCTAGTAGCCACTTTTTATATTGTATTCTTTATTTGCTTTTTGGAGCTACGTTCCACTTTTAAAGATTAGATAGATTATTTTCTTCTTTCCCCCCTCATTCTACACGTCTGTTCTTGTTTATCATAATGCTTTTTTTCCTTTTTCCCATGCTATTTTTTAATCTTTCCTCATCTCTCCCTCCCTTCTTCTCCTTGGACTCATCTTTCTTCTCCGCATGTTCCTTCTCCCCTGCCGAAGCCTTCTTCCATCTCTCCCACCCGGTGTAAACATCTTGTGGATAGATATGTCCGAAATTGTACATTTTCCCTTTAGTCTGTTGCCTCTCCTTGCCCTTTCCCCAATTTGGTCGCTTCTCTCTCTTTTTTGTTATTTTTGTTATACCATGTAATGTCTTTGGCTCTCGTATTTCAGAGGGTCTTGAGAGGATATATTTTGTTCGCAATGCTGTTGCCCGTGGCTTGTAGGGCGTGTCGTTATTCGACCTTTGTGTGTTTTTTTTGTTTTTTTTTGTTATTTGTATTTATATTGAAAAAATCTTCCACGGTTAGTTCGTCGTCTTTTTTCGCCTCGGTACTCTTGTCTGATGCACGGTGACATTTTGTAGCATTACAATTTTAAGGCAAATGAAAAGTAAACATATGCATGTTTAATGTTCATGATATTGGTTATGATTTCCAATGCCTACATGTAATGTTACCTATTTGTTTCCTATGTTACTTGTATTTCAAATTTCCTCCTAAAATTAACCATGCGTTAACAAAAATCATGACTGTAACGATTCTTCTTTAAGTGATACCCTACTTGAAAAGTAACAGTTAATCAAATAATATCTGACAACAGAGAAAACCTAAAGTGAAATCACAAATTGTAACCCACATATACTTGTATGTTTCAGTGATTCATTGTAATTTTAAACATTGATGAATCTAATGTTTTCATTTTTTTTCAATTTCATTTCCAGTAGGGATGCATCAGTCGAACCAACTAAACAACAACTGGGACGACTCGTCAACCATGGTTGGAGGGGTGAAGTCAACAGCAGAATGAAGATTAGAGAGAACCCTCACAATGAACCAGAACTGGTTCTCTTCTCATTGAAGAAAATCAAAGAAGGTGAAGAAGTGTTATATGATTATGGGGTGGGAGATAATTTTGTATTCCCAAGTCCTACTCAATTACACAGTGGAGTCCAAGATGAAAAACCTGAAATTCTGCAAAATTCTGCAAACCTCCCACCAGACCCAGAAAAAGTTTGTTCACCATTCGCCGAGCCTGCCACACAAGAACTACTGGAACCAGATGGAAACTTTTCACAGTCCAATGTTCGAGCTGATGATGATGAAACATCTGAAGATCGATGCAGAAACCCCCCTAATAACGAAACAAATTGGGAACCATCCCCTAAGCCTGCCACACAAGCTTTAATGGAATCAGATGGTAAGATTTCACAGTTCAGTGTTTCAGCTGATAATGATGACACATGTGATGATCCATGCCGGAACCCTCTAATAACCAAGAACATTGGGAACCATCCCCTGAGCCTGCCACACAAGCGTTAATGGAATCAGATGGAAAGCTCTCCCAGTTTGATGTTCCAGTTGATAATGATGACACATGTGATGATCCATGCATAAACCCCCCTAATAACCAAGTGCATTGGGAATCATTTACTGAGCTTGCCACACAACCTTTAATAGAACCAGATGGAAACCTTCCACTCTCCAATGTTCTAACTGATGATGCTGAAACATCTGATGATCTATGCAGAAACCCCCCTAATAACGAAACAAATTGGGAACCATCCCCTGAGCCTGCCACACAAGCTTTAATGGAATCAGATGGAAAGATTTCACAGTTTAATGTTTCAGCTGATAATGATGACACATGTGATGATCCATGCATAAACCCCCCTAATAACCAAGTGCATTGGGAACCATTTACTGAGCTTGCCACACAACCTTTAATGGAACCAGATGGAAACCTTTCACTGTCCAATTTTCTTGCTGATAATGATGACACATCTGATGATCTATGCAGAAACCCCCCTAATAACCGAGAGCACTGGGAACCATTCCCTGAGCCTGCCACACAAGCATTGATGGTACCAGATGGAACCCTTTCACAAAATATTTTTTCAAGTGATAATGAGGACACATTATCTGACCATAATGATGATAGTGATGATGATCCAGACTATGTCTGTGATTCTCAAGGAGATTCTGACTCTTCAGGGAAGACTTCATTAAATAATTCTCAAGCATCATTGCCTAAGGCTAAATGTACATCAATAAATGGCATCACTCGATCACTGAAATCTCTGTCATCAGATCAGTCATTGGAGGCATCATCAAGATATGGAGGCATTGATGCTGACCATGAGGGGATAACTGTGATGAAGACCAACAATCAAGGAGGGCGAAAATATGACAAGGTAGCTTATTGCATGATGTGTGAGAAGCCCCACAAAAAACTTCCTGATCACCTGCGGTCACAACATTCCAATGAAATAAAGGTGGCTCAATACATGGCAGCAACGAATCGAAAAGAAAAGGATAAGCTATTGACATTGATAAGAAATAAAGGAAATCACATGCACAACTACAGGGTCTTCGAAAAGGGTCATGGAGAGCTTGTGGTCGTATATAGACCTTCTTGTGAAGCAAAGCCCCGTGATTATCAGCCTTGCAAAGATTGTTTGGGATGGTTTGCGAAAGCCGAATTGTGGAAACACCGCTGCATTTTGAAGCAAGAAGAGCCGGCTAAGGAGCAAAAGAAAAAACGAAGAAGACTATTAGCACAAGGTCGACTCTTGCTTCCACCAGTGCCCTGCACATCAAGAGATTCTATAACACACAAAGTACTGAGTGGTCTCAGCGATGATGAAATCAAGGCCTGCATTCTAAATGATCAGTTGATTCTAGAATTGGCCAAGGTGTACTCTAAGAAATTGGGCCATGACGAAGAACAGCACAACCACATCAGATGCAAGTTACGAGAACTAGGAAGACTTGTACTTCAGTTCAGACGTTGCAGCTGCAATGGCAAGGCAAGTCTGACTTCCCTGATATCACCAAATGGTTTTATGACTGTCTTGAGTGCTGTCAAGAAAGTGGCAGGCTTTGATGAGGAGAACCACTTGTTCAATACACCAAGTCTAGCACTTAAGCTGGGACATACCTTAAGAAAGGCTGCCTTTGTGCTCCTGAGTAAGGCTTTGATGGACAGAGATGGGGATGACATGCAGAAACTTGTAGAAAAGTTCATCAAGCTGCTGGACACTTGTTGGGGATCTGAAATCTCTACTCATGCTCTACGAACTTTGTACCAGAGGAAACGAAACCAGCCCAAACTCCTACCCCTAACGAGTGATGTTGTGGCTTTGTCAAGACACCTAGAGGTACAGGCTGAACTTTGTGTAGACAAACTGTCATCTGGGACCGCAATCGAAAACCATAGCACATGGAGAGAACTCAACAAGACCATGCTGGCTCATCTCATTGTGTTTAATAGGAGGAGACAAGGGGAAATCAGCAAGATGACTCTTGATGACTACAATAAAATCAAGAAAGGTGAATCTCATATGGTGGAAGGACAACTAGAGATGCTGAAAGACTGGGAAAAAAATCTTGTAAAGTTTCTCTGGAGAGTTGAGGTAGTAGGAAAACGTGGCAGGACAGTGCCGATCCTTGTGACAGACTCCATGAAATCATGTGTAGACACCCTTGTATCCCACAGGGAGGAAGCAGGTGTAAACCCAAGCAACAAATACCTGTTCGCTGTAGCCAATAGTGACACTACATCTCATGTTCGAGGGTCAGATGCTCTCCGTGAGCTGTCAGAAGCATGTGGAGCACAAAATCCTTCAACACTTCGATCCACAAAATTACGGAAGCATGTAGCTACCATGTCACAACTAATGAGCTTGAGGGACCATGAGATGGACGCCTTAGCAAACTTCATGGGCCACGATATTAGGATACATAGGGAGTATTATAGACTGCCAGATGCTGCTATGCAGGTGGCCAAAATATCAAAGATCCTGTTCGCCATGGAGGGAAAAGCTGGGAACCCGGTCCAGCTGATTGGCACTGCAAAAAGTCTGGATGAGCTTCAAATCAAGTTAGATGAAGGTAAATTTGTGATGAGGGTAGAATTATACAGTGGGGATCTCAATTCAAACCCTAATGAGATGAGAAACATCATGGCGAGGGATGAGTGGGATGAATAACAAACCATGTAGCATGTACTAATTTTAAGAATCAAGTATTTCTGATTTCCACTCAACTTGACAATTATCAAATACAAAATATGTAAATTGATAAACATGCTGCAACATTATTGAATTAATGAAAAGTGTTGTTTTCAAATGAACCATGCAGTTAAATATTCCTCACTATATTGTGCACTTGTTTGTTTCAATTTATTTAGATTAGGGGTAATTAAGGCATTTGTTTGACTCGATCCACACATGTGGCATATACCTGGTGCCAATTCTACCATGTTGTATTTAGAAATAATTGATTATATTCTTTTGTTTTAAATTACAAGTATGTTTTCTTTGCAGTTGACCCAGATTTTCTTTTTGGTGAATATTATTGATTATTATTTTATGTACAGAGATCGACACTGGAGAACAGGGACCTGAATCATGTGATGACAATTGTGACAGCGATGTTGATTCTGGTGATCATGATGTCGAACGTCAGCTACCTGGATGCTCCCAAAAAGGTATGACTTTAAGTCCAATGAGAGCATCTAAAAAAATTCTTTTTGCAAACCTAAATGTTAATTTTGCCTATTGTACCGCACTCTCAATCATCCTCAAAAGCCAAAGTGAAACCAAACTTTTTCCTGTTGAAATCACCACGTACCAATATTTGTGCATTTTGAATTGTTAAAAATTATAGCACAATTATAATTGTAATGTAGCCTCACAAAAAGCCTGTTGCCAATGACGGAGAAAATCTATTAGTGAATTTAATTGGTCTCTATATCTAAACTTCTCTAAACTAAAAAAAAATTGTGTACATACAATAATATAGACTCAGAAAGTATTATGTGATCGTGGCCCTTTTGTTCTAGACTGGGAGTCAGGGGTTGTCAAGGTAATACAAAATGTACTTTTTTTCATGCACACAGCAATCACTACAATATACTAGGAAATGGATGAAAATGGAGGCAGCCAGGAGCCCCTCCCAAATAAACCCAAAACTGAGCTAGATTAGCAAAATAAATGACCAATAGAAACCGGGTAGAATATGTGAAACATAACCCCATCTGTCATGACACTGTCAGATAATTTAAAGACTTGTTTGTGCCCGACTCCCCTAAACGGTAGATGCCCATAATTTCACGAAATATGAGCTTTACAAAATTATATGATGGCTTTCTTCCCGCAAAAAAAAATCGTTTAAGTGTATTCCTCCCAGGATCACACTCTATTCTGCATCACTGCAAAAGAGGATTTAAATATTCTTCCTCTCCTTCCATCCTCATAACAGTAATGCACTCTTCAAGTTCATGGGTCAGAGACTCAGAGAAACAGTATGTGATACTGCATTTATTATTCTGCATAGTATAATTGCAACATTTTTTTTTGTTATTGTCTTTCATTAGGTACCAAAAGGCAAAGGCAAACGCAACATGTACTGGAAGAGGTTGATGAACAGCCAATAAGGAAGAAACGAAAGACAGCATGGAGCGATGCGGAAAAGTCGGCTGTCCAGAGACGTTTAGGAGCCTTTATGACTGTTCATTCTAAGCTACCTGGCAAGAGAGCGATAGACGAATGCTTGAAAGCTGAAGCTGTGCTGAAACACAGAACGTGGGTCAACATCAAAGACTACGTAAGAAACTCGAAGGTTACCAAAAGCAGAAAAACACAGCCTTGGTAAAAACATTCCCTTTAATATCAAATCACCATTTTTATATTGAATACACACATGCTTTTGTTTTGAGTCACCAAACTGCTGAAAATGCTCATAAATTACAAGGCATGTTTTGTTATTACAGTCTAAAATGTGTATTCTTTTATATTTGGTTTCTCCATGTATTCATAAAATGTTTACCCACTCTACTGGCAAAGGATTTGTTATTTTGAGGTTTTATTATCATTTTGTAGGCATCCGGCAATTTGTAATTGTGTTAGGGTCTTAGTGGACCTATGCTTGGCCACTCCCAGATATCAATGACAGGGAGCATATCGTTTAGGCAACATGTACTGATTACAATGAGAATTTTGCAGCATGAGTTGGAAATTTCCTATTTGAACAAGAAAAAACCCATAGATTTTTTAACGAAATAAATCAGTGGAAGTTGTAATCAAACAGTCAAGTATTTGTATTTACATACCATAATGGCAGCATAAGAAGGCAGTAGGGGAATTGACTAGTGTAATGCTTGTACATTTGTGACACAATTAAAACTTAAACAACATTTATTATGAGAACACGTTCAGTATAGTGTATTAATATCATCATCAAGGGAGAGTGCCCTTATTATGTGTAAAGGGTGCCCCTTTTCATTTTGGACAGAACTTGTGTTGTTTCTGATATTATTATGGGGTTGTACTAAACACTCGGGTCGCGGCGCGCTGAAAAAACACTCGGTCACGGCTCGTTTGGCCATCTTTTTTTAAGTGTCTTCAAATCGGCTTTTTAATATAAGGGGGAAATCTTATTTCAAATTAGCGACTGTTTTTACACTCGGGTCGCGGCTCGCTGGGCCATTTTTTCAATGATGTCTTCAAAGGGGATGCGTGGGGAAATTTACTTTAAAAACGAAGTTGTAAGTTGTGATTGTTTTTTGTTCAATGATAGACAAATAAGAAGATTATAATTAAGGCTGACATCGGGAAAGACAAATATACTAGGTGGGTAAAGTGGATTTTAGATAAAGTGTAATAGTACATAGGTATATGATCTATTAATATGATAGAAACAAGGAAGAATGGATACAGTGAGAAGATGAATTGTGGGAAATTAAGAACTACCAAGAGAGGAATACAAAAACAAAGAATGAAAGAATGAAATGAATATTTCCATCATTCCTTGTAATATCCTATCAAGTCTTATTCCTCGCTTTATTTTCATATTTGTCAGTCTTTAAAAAATATTCTTTCTAAATTTTATTCTACCCCTTTATTTCTCATCTTTTTTCTATCATGTAAATCTTTATTTCCTCCACTCTTTTCTTTATATCTTTATCACTGTTAAATCTGACCAATGAATTCTTTCAATTCCCTTTTTATTAAATATTTGTTTTCTTTCATTCTTTGTTTATGTAATCCTCTCTTGTTAGTTCTTAATTTCCCACAATTCATCTTCTCACTCTATCCATTGTTCCTTGTTTCTATCAAATATACAGTTCATTTCCCTTGTAGTATTACACTTTCTCTAAAATCCACTTTAATCACCTAGTATTTTGTCTTTCCCAATGCCAGCCTTAATTCTAATCTTCTTATTTGTCTATCATTAAAAAATAATAATCACAACTTCCAACTTCTTTTTTAAGAAAATTTCCCACGCATCCCCTTTGAAGACATCATTGAATAAATGGCCCAGCGAGCCGCGACCTGAGTGTAAAAACAGTCACTAATTTGAAATAATATTTTCCCCCTTAAAACCGATTTGAAGACACCATTTTATTTAAATGGCCAAACGAGCCGCGACCTGAGTGTTTAGTACAAGCCATTAATATGGGATAGTGTAGAGATAGAATTTGTACACTTTTGTTTAATTAGCAATGCAGTAGTTTGTGCAGATTTAGTATAATTGTGGCAAAAAATAGAGGGGGAGTCAATGATCAGTGCCCCCTTTTAAAAGTAAACCGAATGTATGTTTGTTGTGAATTAATAAGAACAGATCTGAATATTATTCTCAGATTTCGCACATACATAAAATATGTCAATTTAGTGTTTAAGCACTAGACTATAGATGATGGTTGTAATGTGAATAATTAGTTGTGATGGGGGTCGGGGACCCAAAACCTTTTTTTTTTGTAATACCTTTGCAACAAAACAAATAAAAAGGGCTATAATAAAGGGTTGGTTCCAGTATAATCATATAAACCTACAATATTAATATGATTCACCTTACTTCTTGCTGATTCAATTTCATCCCTGGTCCCTTTTTTTTTGGGGGGGGGGGGATTTGTGATGTCAGTGAGTTCTCCTTCATTCTTCATCATTGTTCAAAAGTTGGCTTCTCCAACAAATTTGTATTGCGTCAGATTTGTGTTAAATGTATAGCACACAACTAATGATGATGCTATGATAGGAATGTAAAAAACAGATATGCTGTGTAGCTTTTTTAACCTTAGGTACTGTTAAACTCTACGTAATTATGTTCATCAAACTAATATCTGGAATCTTTTTGTAGTTGTGATGGGGGTCGGGGACCCAAAACTTTTTTTTTTTGTAATACCTTTGCAACAAAACAAATAAAAAAGGCTATAATAAAGGGTTGGTTCCAGTATAATCATATAAACCTACAATATTAATATGATTCACCTTACTTCTTGCTGATTCAATTTCATCCCTGGTCCCTTTTTTTTGGGGGGGGGGGGATTTGTGATGTCAGTGAGTTCTCCTTCATTCTTCATCATTGTTCAAAAGTTGGCTTCTCCAACAAATTTGTATTGCGTCAGATTTGTGTAAATGTATAGCACACAACTAATGATGATGCTATGATAGGAATGTAAAAAACAGATATGCTGTGTAGCTTTTTTAACCTTAGGTACTGTTAAACTCTACGTAATTATGTTCATCAAACTAATATCTGGAATCTTTTACATCCATTTTGCCCCCAAATCAAACTCCATCATGTTAAATGGTATCTTTGGAATGTACTATTGTTACCACTGACAAATATTCATATATAATATTTGAGAAACTTGGAAAAATGGATATTATTAATTTTGTCAGACTGAAAAGGGAATTATCCCTCAAATACTAACGCATTCATATTTATATGTATCACATGATTTTACAACAAAAGAAAATACAATGGTATATAAATCAGGACTTTCTAGCAAACTGTGTGGTGTGCTAGTACTCTACCTAGGGGCTGCTATTTTCTTAGAGAGCAGTAGTGACTCTTGACCTTCAGTTTCAGTTTAGTTTCATTTATTTCACACTAAATAATTTCGAAATTACATGTGAAAAAAGGAACTTAATCAAAAGCATATAGCTTGTAGAATTTAAGTTCCTCAAAATAATGTTGACACAGTGTCATTCATTATAAGGTAGAAGTATGATGATACAAAATCAGAGTATACAGATAAAACAATGAAATGATATGGATGATGGATGTAAGAAAGAAGAGAACTAGGAAGGGAAGGTAAAGCATGGGGTCAGGAGAAGAATGAGGAGAGAGAAAAGGAAGTTTTTAGAATAGAATATTCAAGGTCGGGAGTCACAGTCCAGAAAAAAATAGTATACTTGTGCATTACATGTACAAATTTAATACTAACAATTTGATATGTTTTTTAAAGCTGCAACAGTTCTTAAGCTATTTGAGATTCGGATCAATGGTGCTTCAGTAGTTTGGTCCTGTGTATGAAATAGTTTTTATGGCGAAAACTGCCCTGGTTAGGGAGGATGATAGTTTGTACGTGTTGCCTGTCGTGTTTGGTATGTGTGTAAAGCATCATTTTTTGTAAAGCGTTCAATTATGGCTGATGGGAGTATTGCTAAATAACATTTAATTATTTTTTTTGTTTAATATTCAAGGAGACTTTGTTTGCCTGGATCCAAGAGAGGGCTTTTGGCTTTCTTGCTGTGTGTTTACAGCAGTGGGCTCTTTTTTTCTTCATTTCTAGTTATGAGTTATGTTGTTCAAAGTTGTTACAGATGTTATCTTTTGTTTTCATTAATTGGTTGCTTAATTTCTTGTTATGGTTTGAGGTGGGTTTTGTTTTTAGGTTTTAGAATTCTAGATTTTTTTTTAGAATCCCTGGGGATTTTGCGGTAGTAAACCCCATTTATTTAAGTGGCAGAATTCATTTTATGCCTCAACCTTTCATATCATTCCAAACACACAAATATACTATACATGTGTATAAATTAAGGATGGCCGGCCAAGAATGAACAGTAATATGATCTGTTATTTTAACAAGACCTCAAAGAAATCATGAAATATGCGTAGGCTGAGTTGATCAATTCTTCAAGTAAATGATATCAATATCATCTATTTTGCCTTCGTTTGTATTCTAACCTCATTTTCTGTGGCAATGTCAACTTCACAATATTGCACCATTCTTTTACCCAGGTGATGTTAGAAATAATTCTTTATTCGTAATCCCAATTATAAGACATTTTTCTACTACATGCATGTTTAATCTGTAGATTTTTGCAAATGTGGTGCAATGCCTGTGGTTCAATTGTATTGATTGGTACTAATGCCCTTTTTATGTACACGTTCGGACTTAACTCCTAATTGCATATCATCGCTGGACGTGTTTAACTTGTCTCTTGTAAATTTCATGATTTGCATGTGCCTTTGAAGACTGTCAAATAATTGTATCGAAATAAAGTATATTTTACAGAAATTCAAAGAAGATAAACTATTGTTTATTACAATTGGCATTTATTTGATTCTATCTCGTCTTTTTCCTCTGTAGTACAATACACCTGCTGGTGTATGAGATATTTATAGAAATAACATGATAATTTTGTGATTTTTGTTTTCCCTCTTTAACATAAGTCATATTTTAAAATTAAGAAAGAAAATGATTTGCTAGATAATACTGCATAGTTTTAAAACTGTAATTATATCCAATTTTATAGTGGCAAGTATGTATATGTTTGCAGGAGGTGTGTTAAAGAATTTAATAGAATTCGAGGATGAAAGGAAAGAAAATATTCAGGGAAAGTGGTTTGATACCACATTGATCGAGGAATTGTTAAAACATGTTGAAAAAGATGACAGTTTCGTCCTTAAATTGAATGAAGATATAGTTAGAGAGAGAGAAAGAGAGGAGCACAGGAGAAAGT